CTTCATCGCTACAAAGCATCGCTATAAAGATCTAACGAAACCCTCGCTAAACATCATAATAGCTTAGCTATAATGATATTCAGTAAAGAGTCGTCCATAAATTACGTCACGCTCTGAGGGGAGGAAGAGAAGTTATTTTGTGACGACTCATACGAAACTTGTTACTAAAGTGTAAAGATGCTGTGAGATAGATAGTTTCTAACCATTTTTTCAAAAGTTATTAATAATTCAGTATTGTATATAAACTTTATTTTTGAAACTTTTTATTTTTATACAAAACAAAATTGAAGTTGAACACGCTGTTAGTTAATAACATACGTCATTTTATTGACCTTAATTCATTTTTTAAAAGACGCCTCTCTCAAAAAAACTACCTCGTTATCACAACATCGTTACACTTTAGTAACAAATTTTGTATGAGTCGTCACAAAATAACTTCTCTTCCCTCCCCTCAGAGCGTGACGTAATTTGAACGGCCCTTTACTAAATATCACCATAGCTAAGCTATTATGATGTTTAGCGAGGGTTTCGTTAGATCTTTATAGCGATGCTTTATAGCGACGAAGCTTCTAAGAATAATGAAACTTTTTTAAAAGCGTTACATTTTTATGAATTATGTAGCCCAATTTTTATTATTCATAATAAAACGTTGTAATTAGTTACAAATTTAAATTTATAGTGTAGTCAGTGTCGGATCAAGGGGGGGGGGGGGGGCTAGGGGACTATAGCCCCGGGTCCCGCAAATTTAGGGGCCCCCAAAAATTTTAATATATAATATAATATATAATATAAAAATTGCTGTACAAACTATTTAAGTTTGGTCAGTCAAAACTACGTAGTGCTTTGACTGTAACAGCCGTTAAATGTAAAATTTTGAAAATAGAATAAAAAGTTCCTAAATAAAATTTGGTATCAAAAGTTCAGAATTTTGTCTATTCTATTTTTGAACGCGTTTTTGTTTGCAGAATCGATTGCATTTTGTGACAATAAATTCCAATTGTCGACCACTCTATTTGTTAGATAATAATACCTGGATGATTTTTTAGTATATTTTCGATGAAGTCTTTTATTATGACGATATCTGGACATGTTGTTTTAAAATTCTAGAGGCTCTTCAAACCTTAAATATTCAATTGAATTTAATATTTTAAACATTTCTATTAAATCGCCTCTTCTACTCCTTTCTTGTAAGGATGGTAAACCTAATATTTTTTTTCCTTTCTTCATAGCAGATGCCTTTCAGTGATTCAATCCGAGTCGATCTACGCTGTACCTTTTCAAGTCTCTTAATGTCTTTCATACAATATGGGCTCCATACAGATGCTGCATGTTCAAGCTGTGGCCTTATATGATTTTAAACTGATAATATGATTTTCCCATTTGAGGTCATTTGATAATAATACACCTATATCTCTTTCAACTTCTGTTTTTTGCAAAATATGATCTCCTAATTTGTAACTAAACTGAGGATTAAATTACCAATGTGCATTGTTTTACACTTTTTTCCAGTGAATTTAATTGACCACTTATTTGACCAGTCTAAAAACTTATTTAAATCTTCTTGATGAGCACTGCTGATTTTTTTTGGAATAAAATAAAATGTAAATATGTAAGATAAATTATCTAACAAAAAGAAAAAGCGCAAAAAACTAAAATAAATAAAAAAATCAAAGCTCAAAAAACTAAAATTTGAAATGGAAAATAAATTTATATTAGGGTAGATTAGGGTAATATGAGCACCTTGGTAATATGAGCATACTTAAAGATTTATTAGATGTAAGCAGTGAAGTTAAAGTTGCTTTATGTTTTTCAAATCGACTTTATGTGGTGATAACAGGAATCAGTACAATTAGCGTAAGTTTATACGCAGTAATAAGCGGATATCTTCTAATTAAAACGCTTTTAAATTTTTTGCTTTGTTAAAAAAAATCATCACGCGTGAATAATTCTGTTGCGCGATATTTTGGTGCTAAAATAATGAAATTAATTTTTTCAAAAAGAAAAATATATTAGCTAAAAATCCAATTGATTTTTGTTTGAATAATAATGCATAGAATCATTTATTTTTGACTTTATTTAAAGATACCATTTTTGTATAACATGAGCATGCTCAAATTACCCAGTGCTTTTTATTGAAATTGCTTAGTTTAAAGGCCTAAAATAGGAGTGGTTTTTAATTGCTTCTTGAATAAAAACAAAAAATAGTAAAAAAATTTAATATATTAACAATACTAAATATTTTTCTGTAAAAAATTTTAATTTTTATTGTTTAAAGGTTTAAGTCAACAAAATTGAAAAAAAAATGTATTAATTTTTTTTTTTTGGCGGAAAACATAGTAGTATTGTTTCAACAAAATGTAGCTTAAAATTTGATCTTTTAATGATATGTTTTGTTAATCACGCATCCTTATATTCCAACAATTAGTTCTATTAAGCAGGTTGGTCTTTTTTACTTAATTAATGCTATTTTTTTGAGCTAATTTAAAGTGCTTATATTACCAAGGGGTTAGGATAATACGAGCACTTTTGCTACTTTTTTAAAACCTCTGTGTTTTTAATAAAAAATGTCAAGTGCCCAAATATCTAAATAGATTATGAATAGGGATCCCTAAAAATTGTTTATTTGCAAAAATTTTGGATCCAGCATATTTATTTTTGAAAATATTCCAATATTTGCTTAAGGTGCTCATATTACCCTAATCTACCCAATGCAAATTTAAAAGACATCGTTTTTCATCATCGAAAAAAATGTCTTTTTTTATCTTAACCTTGTCATAAAAAGACTAAAAAAATGCGTCTTTAATACGCCTTTAGTGAATTATGCAAATCTAAAAGACATATTTTTTCGACATCAAAAAGACGACTTTTTTATAATCGTTGCAAAATAGCTTGAAATCACATAATATATAAGTACAAAACAATTAACATAATAAGTGCCGAATAGTTTAAATAGTTCACATGTTTCGACAATCTAATACATAACTACACAGGTCAATGGTTACCTACGTAACGCTGTAATTTATTACTCATTAAGACATTTATTTTCAGTTTACATAATTAAAAAAAATCAAAAATTTCACTTTACAGAGTAAATAATTATTTATTTATTACAAATATATAATAAATTTTATATTTATACAATTTCGAATGATTACAATTAACTTTAATTCTGAATAAATTATTTTTAAATGAATGAAAAAAAGTTGTTGCTAAAAATAGGTGCAATGGATGCCCTAAACTAAATATTTATCAATTATGCGTAATATAAATATATTTCTTTGGCTTTCCGGCTTCAATTGTCTTCATAAAATTAAAAAAATTATATTTGTGTACAGTTGCTAGAAACAGGTACTACGAGCGCCTCTGAATTTAATATTTATTAAGTATACGTAAAATATATATTTCTTTGGCATCTCCGGCTTCACTTTACCTCTCAAAATCAAAAACGTATGTACTTGTTCAGGTTTACCAATAATGACATAAAATTTTGACACTCTAAATTCATCTTGTGAGAACAGATCAACTTTCTGTGCATCTCCATCGTTTGGTTGTTTCTTCCTGATGCGCTTTCTTTTTTAGTTTTTGTTTAAAAGTTTTTTAATCCTTTCATAATAGGATGTGCTGCATGTAAAATCCATTTATATGCTGCTAAGTTTATTTTCTAGTGATATATACAGGTTAGCACATGTTTTAAGATCCTTTTTTGAAGGGCCTGGGTTATTATGTAAAAATCCTATAAAATTTTATCCCATATGATAAACATGAATGCAAGTTTCAACTTTTGCATTTTCTTAGCCATGTTTTCTGCTTCTCGTCTTGTGTCACCTTTTCGATTTTTATTATTGGAAACATTCTTCAAAGAGTGAAAGAATGTTGAAAAAGCATTAAAACAGCATTAGTTGCAATAGCATGTGTTATTTAGTATCCGAAAGTGATTTCAGCACCTTTTTACTACTATGGCCTCCTTTGAAAGATAAGAAGGGTTTCCTTTGCCAAAGTTACTCTACATAGAAATATGACCTGCTAAAATAGATTATATTGCCTTATAAGTTCCAGAAGATCCAAATAATTTGCATTTTTGGAAGAAACAAACTTCTTTTTGGTTCCACAAAGTGCAAGGCTTCACTCAACCAGTTTACGGATCACATGCTCCCACATATCACATTGTTTACATGTATCACATGTTCCCAATACTCACACTCCTCCTTTATCTGTCTATCAAATGCGTGCTAAAATCCTTGACCTTGTCTTATGGTGAGGTATGCTAGCAGGCAGTTTATAAGAAGCTTTTTAGTGATTGTCAATTCTTATAATGTTTCTCCAGTCACTGAATCTACCCTTAACAAACTGAGAAGAAGTAGTTTTAGAAGCAAAAGGTTTACTAGCAAAGCAATGTAGAGTCCCTTTACGATTAATTTAAGTTAGAATACAAAAGCCTTATACATGCATATATATAAAAAATATATCATGAATTTTGAATTAAAAAAATATACATTAGGATGTATAAATGTTTATGCAGTCCCGGTCACAAACCTGCCCCGACTATATTTTATCAAACCCGGCCCCGGCCCCGTACTTGGTCAAATATCAACCCCGGTCGCTGACTAGCCAGCAATAGAATTACGATCTAGAATTAATTTTTTTTTTCTGACAGCAGTTCTTTCAAGGTCGGTAATATAGTGTGATGAAGATGAAACCTTACATATTATTTTCTTAAAAATATATCAACCTTGGTCTTAAAAATATATCAACCTTGGTCTTAAAAAAATTCAATCAAATGCTGAATCTAAATAATGAGAGCGATTCTTATAAACTAGCGGCTTTCGACATGTTTTTATGATGTATGTTTTTCCTTGTTATTTTGTTATGGTCTCAAAATTACATTTAATTCGGACCGTAGAGAAAACTTTTCTTTTCTGAAATTTCGATTTAGATATGGTCTCAAAATTACTTTTAATTCGGACCGTAGAGGAAATATTACTTTTCGGAAATTTTGGGGTAGGGGTGACATTTAGCTATTTTCATTAAATAAAAGTTTGAGGATTTATTGTATAAAAAGTTTTTTTTGAAAGAAAATTTTTTTTGAAAGAAAATATAAAAGTTATAACTTTTTGGCGCTTTTTATATATAGTTTTTTAACAAATTTTTTAACCTTATTAACTGGGTCGTGGAGGTCAACTTTTTATTGAGTCGCGCTCTTCGAGCGCGAAGCCTATATCTTGGAAATGTCAAAGCGAATAAACTTAAAATTTTGAAAACTTTTAAAGTGGCTTAAATTAAATCATATTTAGCTATTTAATTTAAGAATTAATGATTTATTCATGAAATTTACAGATAGAACAACAACAACAACAAGCTATTTATTTTCCATTTTAAAATCATTTTTACAATAGTAAGGTAAATAATAATAAAAATAATTATTATAAAATAATAAGCAATAGTAATAATTCATAACAATAATAATAATAACAAAAAACAAATTTTAAATAATAATAATTACTATAATAGTAATAAGTAAAATGATATGTTATTTCTTATTATAATAAGTTAATGATTAGTATGGATGGTGTCACTCATACAGTCTGATCAAAGGAGTGACACCATAATAAACATCGATTTTGGAAGTTTTGAGCAGTTTGACAAAAAATTAGCAGATAACCTCTAGACAGCTAAAACTGTTAAAAATGAAACTTGTGCATATATTGTATGCTAAAATTGTTCTCATAAGCTAAATAAACTAAAGAATTTTGAGAGAAATTTTTATTTGGTCTCTTGCTCTCAACATCCTCATTGCCTGTTGCTGTCAATGTTAGATTTATCTTCAAAATCTAGTTTAAAGGCAAATTTTAAAACTATAAGGCTTTTTCATATAAATGCAAATTTTATTTAAAATTTTTATTACTGATGCTCGATCCAATTCAACCAAATCAACGCTTCATCATCAGAATTCTCAACGAAATTGAGAATATTTGCTAAAGGGTCTTCTGTGGAAACAAACATTTATTTGCTCATATTTTCATCTTCTTCTTTTTTTGTGCGTGTGTTCAGTTTTTTTTATTATTTTTGAATTTAACAATGAGAGCAAACATTACAATAAAAAAATGTGTTCAAGAAGTTGTAAAATTTAGTTATAATCAATAAAATATCTGCAAAGTGAAGTTTTCAAAAATTCATGTTTAAGGGTGTCTTCTACAAGACCACGGTAAAAACACTGTGATATCCTTTTACTCACGTTTCCATGTTGAAAATGGTGTATTATATATGATATTAAAAGTCAAAAAGTTTAAGCGGTTATGCGAAAGAAAAGTTATAGTTGTTAAAATTTATGTCGCGCGACCCAGTATGAATAGGGTTAAACAATAATTTTTTTCATATATACAGAGCCCGTTGATAACGTTCAGAAAATTATTTGAATTTCTGATTTAGATACCTACTTATTGTTACTCAATGATTATTATTATAATTATTATAATTTCTCAATGATTACCATTGTTACTCCTGTGCTCAATATTTTCCTTTACATAAAGCAGAACTAATTTAACTTATTTATAAATTTGTCTCACAGACAAAATTCTTTTACAACCAGAAAGATGGAAGATATAATTATGTTATTTTAGCACGCGAGAACATGTGAATATCTGCTCAATATCATCAGAATACGCATTCTCGACTGCTGGGCACATGGTCAATCAACGGCGTCCATTTTTGACACCTTAAACAGTGGTCACGCTAGAATTTCTAAAACGTTTTCAAGACTTGTGTAACTTTGACATTTAAAGTAAAGTGAAGTTTAAAAATAAGTGGAAAAAAAGATTTCTAACTAAATGACATTAATAAATTAAAACTTTTTATTAACTGTTTATAAGAATATCTTTAAAGGGCTTCGCAGGTCTAATCGCTTTTAGTAAAAAATTTGTTGTTAAATATTACTAGATAGATTTAACTAACTACTAACTGTTCAAAATATTTAAAGTTAATATTTACAATACATATTTTTGTTTAGATGTGCTGGGTTTGGGATTAGATGTTGTTTTACTAATGATCGATTCTCAATCAAATGCTAATTTTCATCGTCAACTTTTAAAAAGTATGCCACAACTCGTAAATGATGAGGACACTACTATTCTAAATGGACACACTATTGTTGGCGACGGTACAACTGCACAGCTAGCTGCAATTCTTATAGGTTTTTTTTTACTTCTGAAACGTAAAATAAAACTTTTTTTTAAAGTTACGTAAGTTAAAGTTTTAAAGTTACATAAGTTTTAAGTTACGTTTTTAAAGTTATAACTGTTTTAGGTATGGTACAAGTATTAAATCTTAAACTTGGTGGCGTAGATTTTCTAATGTTTCATACATTTTTACATAATTTTCATACATTTTATCAAAAATTCAGGCCTTGTGTAAATTCCAAACTTTAGTTCGTTTGTGCATGTGTAAAATTATTGCAAAAAATTGTGGTGGTTGGAGCCTGGGCACAAAATCATCTCAAAACGTCACTACCCTACCTATAATGTAAGGCCAGGAGCAAGGCCGGCGCGAACAGGTGTTGCGTGGGGTGGGAGTGGCATTTAAATATTTGCTAAAAAAAAAAAAAAAAAAGATACTTGGTTTTTGAAATTTGCCAACTGACTTTTCTAAAAGGTCTACATTTGCCGACTGATTTGTCTAAAAGAGTCAATTTTTCCGACTAAATTAACAAAAAATTAATTGATGAGGGGGGGGGGAGACTCTCATCCCTTTCTTCCCTTAAACCCTCTTTGGCCTTGGCAAGGAGTTAAAAAGAATTTAATTTTTACTTTCTATATTATATTTAAATTTTTTGACAGATTTAAATTTTTATTTAATAATCTTTTAACAATCAGAAACATAATCACGATTAAGATTTTTTGAAAAACACTCTCATTTAAAATAAGCATTATCTCATTTAAGGTACTTAAGTTTGGAGTTTGCACATTACTAACCTATATGCACATGCACGCAGTTTTAAGTTTTTTTTTTAAATACCTAAAACTCAGCTTTATGGTTCTAAGGCCGGCTGGTAGTAAGTTTCCCAAATTCTGCGGTAGCTCTCAGAGAGGTCTCAGCTGGTTCCATCAACAGCTGCAAAATATCAGTTTAATAACAGTGTCATGTTGCGCATGAATGGTGTCCTTATTTGTACTTTGGGGGTGTATTGTTGGGGCCGTATTTGGAGCCTTTTGTTATGACTTTATTAATGGTAATGAAGCAGCTGCTTGGAATATTAGATAATTTACTGACCTGTGCTTCAAGTCAAGTTCTTTAAACAATTTTAAAAATGTCTAAAGCATCGAAAACTATAATACACAAAAAACCATTGTCAACACCAAGTTCTCTAAATCTATCATTCATTAATATTTGTGGTCTTCAAAATAGCTTTAATTTTGTTGAGTTTTATCTTTTGCGAAGTTTACCAGACCTACTTTTTCTTTAATAAACTAATTTGAGTTCAGCTGTTTCATCTTATAATCTTAGTGTTGATGGTTATCTTTCTTTAATTCGTAAAAACTTTATATTTAAAACTTCAATAACCACATGCTTGGCCTGGGTATTTACATTTGTAAGATTTTATCCATTTGTCGGGAAATATATGAATCCACAGACGATTCTTTTATGTGCTTTTCTTTAGCACCACCTCACTCTATCACCTTTTTTTTGTTCTTTTTATCTCTCTCTTTTATCTCGAGACTGTAATTTTTTTAATTATTATTTCTGAATAAATTGACCAAGCCCTTTTTCTTTATCCTTCAGCCATTATTGTTATTGTTACTGACTTTAATGCTCATCACACTAAATGACTTGGTTCTAATATCAGTGACTCTGCAAGCGTTAAAGCCTACAACTTGTGTCTTTCTCCACCTCTAACGCAAATGGTCAACTTTTCAACTTGCTTTTCAGACTATCCGAATCATTTACCTCCTCTATTCGAGTTATGTCTTGTTTCTGATCCTAGTCAGTGCTAAGTTTTTCCACATTCACCTTTAGGTGCTTCTGATCATAGTTTGATCTCTCCAGAACTATTATCTTATTCTTTTTCATCATAAAAATTCCCCAATCATCGTACCTCTTACAACTAGCTTAAAGCTGGCTGGAACTCTTTCCGTAATTTTTTTTGTAATGGCCCTTGGGAAGAAATCTTTTTTCTTTCTGCGGACAATTTATTGTTTTTTTTTTTTGCCATTTACTAAAATTCATTCTCGCGTTACTTTTCATTTAGTTAAGTCTCATCCTTTTACTGTGGTTGTTCCTAAGTGTTCCAAAATTTCTTATTCATCTAGTTTTTTCCTTGAACATCATTTCTTTGGAATTTGTTCCCTTTGTCTTGTTTTCCTGGTTCATATAATTTGCAACCTTTTAAGGTGTCTGTTAATCGTTATCTTGCTTTATAAATTTCACCTTTTCTCTTCCAGTAACTTCTAACTCTAATAGTGGTTGCTTGCAGCCTTGTTGGGAGTGAATATATTAAAAAAAAACTTTTGATGCTTCTTTAAATTTTAATTTCATGTCTCTTTGATACTATCTTAAGGTATTTTTGATTACCTAAAATACCTTATGTTAATAGAATTGGCTAATTTACACAAACCTTTTCCATTGAAAATATTTGTATGAATATTGCGTTTGCTTTAGACGTGAAAACTCTTTGCTGTTAAACAACACGCTTTTTTAAAAAAGTTAAAAAAGCAAACTTTCTCAATTAAATTAACCTACTAAAACTTTTAAACAAATTTTCTAAAACCTTCACTTATCTTAAAAATGGACGTCAAAAATATATTCTCATGGTGGTAAAATGAAATTGATAAAGACGACTGTTTTAGAAGATGTTGTGAGTAGTTTTAAATAAAATAAACCAATCATATTGTAGGTGATCATTTTGCTCTTGCATATCAATTTTTTTTGGGCTTGAAGGGCTATTTTTATGTTTGGACTCTGCAAGGGAAAAATTTTGATCTTTTTTTTTTGTCAATTAGTTTAATTTAGCATTGTGTAATTTATGGACGATCCCTTACCTGGATTATATATCACAGATTTTTTTTTGATTTTGAGCAACAGTAAGAAAACTCGTTAATTATTCAGTTTAGTCTCGCATATTATTCTTTTGTAGATAGTGAAGTTGTTTCTTTTGTATTCTTGATTTTGCTCCCAAAAGTTTGCGATTTTCTAAAATATCGCTCATATGTATATTTTGAATACAAACTGAATATTGAAAAATATTTCGATTTGAAAATTGAAAAAAAAATTGTCTAGTGAAACGAAATAGTAAATAAAATAAATTTTTGATTGAAAAACAAGAACAGTTTTTATGTTTAACATCAGGTCTAAAAGGAAAGATCAAAAATGCTTTATTCTGATATTTCCAACTGGTTTAAAAATAGAACAAATCTTTGATCAAACTCAGAAAAAACAGAAAAATTTCATAAATCCAATTATAAAAATTTAGGTTTTGACATCCAACTATAGTCACTTTGATATGCAACTATGGTTTGTACTAAACAATCGTTATTAGAAGAAATTGTGTTCAATTGTCTTAATGCTTGGTCGAACTTTTACCACATTTATTTAGTGATAATAAACAACAGTTTTTCTAATACTAAATGGATGCAACATGGCAAAACATACCAAAAGTATTGAACTTATTGACATTGCAAAAGAGAATGGTGTCATGCTACTTTGCTTCTCTCCCCACAACACTTACATACAGATGCAATTTTAGGGAAGGGGGAGGGTTGTAAAAGTAAGCGATTTTCAAGCTATAGTCGATTTTTTGCCGAATTAAGTTGGTTAGGATATACAATACAGTCGGATCAATTTTAGGGCCTATTTTTTTAAGGAACCAGGCGGTATTTTTCAAGGATTCACCCCTCCCCCTTATTATATTCGTAGAATCGACTCTGCTCACATAGTGTAATCTTTTGGTATTTCAGTCATGAAACCACATTGTAAATTTTAACACATTATTTAGAGAAAAAGTAATTCACAGTAGACCATAAAGATCTCCAGGTTTAAACTCTCACCACCTCTAGTTTTTTTTTCTTTTACGCAAATAAAGTTTGTATAAGTGGTTTCCAAGTGCAAAACAAGTTTGAAGTCGATCAGAAGAGTTAGTGATTCAAGTTTTAAAAAAGCATAATAGACTAAAAATTTAGCCTTAAAAATAATGAAATCCGTCATTGTTAGCTTCTTTTTTTAAAATAATTTTTAAATAATAAGAAAAGTTATTAGAGAAAAAGAAACGGAGCGGTAAATATGGCTGAATTAAAACATTCTGTTTGTGCAACTTGTTTAGAAAAAACAGGTAAACATTCAAAAGTATAACTATCTATAGCAGATAAATCAAGGAGTTTATTCGGCCTGAGTACAATCAAGAGTTTATCGTCTACCCGGGTGTAATTTATTCAAGTTCTAAAAGAGGCATCTTTTTGCTAGAGAAAGGATCAAGCATTTATCTGTCAAACTGGATGAGTAAAGTTTCTCAAGTTTATATATCATAATTTATTAAAGGTAAATAAGTAATACATAAACAAATATAAATTTTTGATAAAATATATATTTTTGAATTAGGTTGACACGCCTTATTATTAGACGTAGTACTGAGCTTAGTGATATTATTCAATCATCTTATGTTAAAACACAAGCTGTAGAATCTCTAAAGGACAATATGTTGTGTTGCTGCTTTTCTCTCTTCGCAATAGGTTTATGATTAAATTTGATAGGTAATTAAAAATTTTCAAATATTTATAAGTTTCAATATAAAAAAAAACAACATTGTTTTAATGTTTAATAAGTGTATACTAATTTAAAGGTTAGTTTTATTCTCCATTATGTCATATCAACTATTGTTCTACTGAGGTTATTTTGAGCTTAATTAATTTATAAGAAAAACTTGATCCTACATTATGCAAGCAACTTGCTTCAGGCATAATTAAAAACAAGATAGAGCGAGAAGACATTGAGAGAGGCTAGTCCTTTTAAATATCTACAGGTATATATAAGTTTTTATTGTCATTGTATAGTTCATATAGATTTTAAAGGCACAAAATTAAGCAATTATTTTGATTGCTAACAACTTTTTTAAACATTCGAGTTGTAAATTTAAATTAAGGGAAGTAAAAAATATAGATAATTTAAATATACTTAATTTTTAGGTGGGAATGCGTTAACTTTACCATATTGTTTAACTTTACCATGTTGTTACCACGTTACCAAACTAAAGATAATAAATCTTCTAGAAAATCTTTCAATCAGATATCATTTCAACCAGTGCTGGAACTGACTTCTGTACTGAAAATTACAAAAAATCAATCGAAAATATTGATATCAAGTCTGCGTATAAATATGAGATCGTCTACTGTTGTTGAGAACAATATAGTTAGCATGATAACGTCATTGCAACAAAAAATCTAATCTAAATATAGTATAGAACAAGATATTTAGTATTTATTCATAAATCTTCTGAATTTATTCTTAGTATTATAATGGAAAGAGCCTCTGATTTTTGCTCCATTACGGCATGTGTGTCCATTGATCGAGGTCAAGGGTTTCTAAAGGTTATTGTAAATGTCTTTGATAAGGCTAGTAAAAACAAGATATACATTAATGGTGGAGTCAAGTTTTATTCTTGCTATTGTTGAAGATAGATTAAATCTAGATCATGTTGCATATCATTTTAACTATCCCAGGATGCAACAAAATAGCATTTGATTTAAAATTTGCTCTAAACATCTTGGGTTTATCATCTAATTCTGGTAAATATGTCTGCTTGTGAAACGTAAATGTTTCCTAGAAAATGGTATTCCAAGAACACAAGTTTTTCTTCATCATTGGTACAAGTTATTTTTTGAAAATGGGGCAAAAAGAGATATACTCCTTTTTATGGGGATTATGACACAACTTGGTAGACTATTAAAAAAATTAGATCACTGGCCTATGTTTACAAATTGGCTCAAAGAACATTATATCTTACTTCAAGGTTATTATAGGCTTTGATGGCAAAAACTCTACAAAACCTCGAGAAAAAGTAGATATTTTAGAAAGAGATGTATTATTGACCCAAACTAATCTAATACCTATTGTTCATTGCCCCATAAAATTTTTGAAGGTTAAAAAGAGAACATTTAGACAAGAATTAGGTAGCAATGTTCCTTTAGTTATTGAAAAATTTATTTTCTGACCTTAACAGTATGCAAAAATACATTTAAATAAAGAACTGAATGTTACATGGAAAATGCATATAATTATTTGCTATATTCTCCTATTTATGAAATTTAACTGTTGTTCTCTACAATCATATGCTGAACAGACAGGAGAGTCAATTTTAGGGGGTAAATAGGATATTAAAAATTTTTTTTTGATACTTCTGACCTTTTTTAAATTTCTCCAATACAATAACTTATTTAAGTAGTATCTTTATTATATTTTTATGAAATAAAATTAGAAGCGGGTTCAACGGTTTAATTTAAAGTTCAGTTCGGTCTTAAAAACTCTAAAGCAATCATATATAAACCGTAAATGAATTTAGAAAAACCGGTATTAGACGAGATATTTCAGTATTTATTGATGATTTCATGGCAACGGATTTTACTGACATGGAAATTGTCACTGTAGAAAATTTTAAATAAATGCATTATTTATATTAAACTTTTATTTTACTGCTTTTTAAGTATTTGATTTGTCACAATTTTGTATGCTGCATTCTATTTTTTTTTTACAAAAAATTTTAATCATTCTGTTTATATTTTTATTACTTATTATTCTCATTTCCTCATTGTTTTGCCACTCTATCACAGTTTTTGATCAGTTTTTTTTCTGCCTGTGTGGATTAAAAATCCTACTTTTCGATTAAATAAAAAGTTTTTTTTTAAAAAAAAACTTTAGAAAAATAATTGCGGGATTTGCACTTAATGAGTTGTTTCTACAACTTTAACCTAACCAGTTACATGCTTTGAGCACTTAAACGTGGTCTAAATCAAGGGGTGTAAAACACGGAGAACGGGGTATGAAAACTAGTATTCTATCAAACAGCCATTTTTGACTCTACCTTCACTTCGCAAGACATACCTCACAATTTTCCTTTGAAAATAAAAAATTTCAATAGGTATTATGCTGCTTTTTTTTGGTGTGGATGTCCAAAAAATACTTTTTCCTCATTAAAGAAAATTAGTCAAATATGTAGAGGCCCAGATGCAAGATAAGCAAATGAGACCCTGTTGTATTGAACGGTGACTAAAAAATAAGCAATATTTATAGGTAATATGTTTTTAATTGTTACCAATTTTTTATTTTATTTAACATGATGTTTTTTTAAGTTTACACATAATTTACAATTCACACTCAATGATACCCGTGCAGTGAATCAGCACCTGTCCTGCTTCTTTGTCTCGGTATAATTTTTATTAGAGATTATTTCATCCCTCCCTTAAAACAACTTTTTTTTATGTTGGAAAAATTTAAAAAGGTTTTAAATGTTTTTTTACTGATTGTACGTAATAATCTTTATCTCAAGTTGTATAAAAAAAAAACAGTCAAAAGAATAATTTGCAGATCTGCTGACTATTCTTTTGACTGTTTTTTTTTACTCTGCAGACTAAACAAAAATAAATTTCACGAAGTATGTATTTTAACAGTTACATTGCATGTAATAAAAACTTTTAATACATTTTGAGTATTAAATAGTTTATTTAACAATTAACATCGTCTGTGATTTAAATAAAAAGTTATAAAAATTTCTAGGCAGTTTTTTTTATCAATTTACCGATAAATTTTAACTTGGCAACACTAGTATTGATGCACTTTCATTAAAAGTGTAAGTAGTAAATAAAATCTATAGTTTTTTATATTAGACAGTACTAAAAAATTACATGTGGTGCAACAATCTTTTACTAATAGTACGTTTGCCACATATATGCTAACATGCAATAATTGTCAATTAACGTAGTTTGCAATAGATGCAAAATGTTGTTAGCCCAACTTCATCGTCCATTAACGCAAAATTTAGTTTGCTAAATGTTTATTTAACGTTGTTGCACTTACCAACGCAAAATGTATTTGGCCAATTAACGCAAAAACCAACTAACTAACACAAAATGTAATTGGTTCAACAAATGTTTGTACTTATATTCTCTCGTGCTTATTTAAATCAAAAAAAGTTTTTTATCATATAAAGACTGCGGAATTTAATATAGGTATCGAATCTACATATATTTCCTATAATATACATTTTCAATATTTTAGGTGAACAAGAAAAAAATCTTCCTGAAACAAGACGAAATATGCCTAAATCTAGTACATGTGACCAATTCAATTTCATTTTTAAAGATCTTCACAAAGCTGGCTACCTAACTATGTTAAGTGAAGATAGACCAGAGTTGGGTACTTTTCACTATCGTCTAAATGGTTTTAATAGTTTGCCAACATCTTGGTATCTACGCCCGTTTTGGTTAGCTCAAAACCCATCTGCTAAATGTGATGTTGAATATAACACCAAACTTCTTAAAACATTCACAGAAACATTTGAAGATATACCTAAAGTGTCTTTGATAATAAACGCAGATATTGGGCACAACGATTTTAATGGTTTACAAGCAATTGATGATGATATTTTTGAAGTAATAGACTTTTTTAAGTCTCCTCTAAGAATAAATCACACTGTTCTTATTATCTTCGGGGATCACGGCGCACGCATTGGTGATTTTCGCTCAACAACTCAAGGAAAACTGGAGGAAAGATTGCCTTTTTTTTCAATTACTTTACCACCTGACTTTAAGAAAAAGTACCCTAAAATGTTTACAGCTTTGAAAAAAAATTCTAATGTACTAACAAATCACTTTGATGTTTACGCAACACTGCAACATATGCTAAGTTATCCAGATATTCCAAGTATGAAATTGATTGGTCAGAGTTTATTTACTGAAATAGATCCAACTGTTAGAACTTGTGAAAACTCTGGCGTTGATGACCACTGGTGTCCTTGCTTAAACTATGAAGCAGTTGCTGTAACAGATGAAACAGTAAAAAAAATTGCGCACGAAGTTGTTCGTTATTTAAATAATTTATTAAACGAAAATGAAAAAGCTCGAAAACATTGTATGAAATTGACGTTGCAATCAATTTTATCGTCGGGTTTAAAAACCCCTAAAAAAGAAGTCAGTCACTTTATAAAAACGAATAAAAATGACGAGTGTGATTCGTGCGGTGTTGTTTACGACACTTCTATTGTAGCAAAAAAATATTATGAAGTTGTTATGACAGTTTATCCTAGTAATGGAGCTTTTGAGGTCAATGCTGATGTTTTACCGGATAATACAATTGTTGTGGATCCGAATGTTAGCAGAATAAATTTATACAGTAACCAACCTCATTGTATTATGAATGAGTATCCTCATTTACGACCATATTGTTATTGTGAATCACAAAGTTGATTTTTAGAAAATCACAAGCTGGTAGTAAACAATTTTACATTACCTTTTTAAAATAACATGAAACTATATTTTTTTAAACGTAGTATTAACAAATGGGTAGAATAAGAAGAATAATGAACAAAAATAAATAGTAAAAAGAAAAAGAAGATATGAAGTATAAACTTTTGAAAATATTAAAATGCATGCGCTCATACACACAGACACATACATTCACATACATACACACATACACGCACACATACTGGATATAGTACAAATTTAGTTTTTTTTTTTTTAATATATTTTTTAAATACTAGACTAATATAGTTGAATCGGTCGGTAACGATACAATGCAATAAAAAAATAAAAAGTTCAGTTTAAAAGAATTAATATAAAAGAATTAATATAAAAGTGTATTTTATAAAAAGACTTAAGAAATTTTCCATTAATGGGGTAACCAAGGTGTTTTAAGAAGTGAAGATAAGTTAATAATAAATATTTTAATGGCAATAATAATATTTAAATAGCAACAACTTATTGTTATTATTGCCATTATCATATTTTATTATACCTGATTTTATTATACCTGGCAATACAAATGTTCGTCGTTATGTCTTCTTTTTTTTTTCTTATGGCGGCTGTTTACTAGGAAAAAATCCAGCAAAGAAGCCATCATAAAAACTAAATTGTTTATTCAAGCAAAGCAAAGAAGACTAAAGAACAATGGTTTGTATTCTCAGGTATCACAAAATTATTAATTAATCCAAATAAAAAGTAACATATAAATATTATATCTTACAAGAAAATAAGTTCAGTTCTACAGTTGGTAAGTATAACAGACAAAAAAAACTGAAATGTTGATCACTACAAAATTTAAGCGCACAGTATGTTTAATGGAGTCATTATAAGAACAAAACCATGCTGTCTTGTTGATAATAATTCTTTAAACACCTTGTTTAATCAGACTTAATACAATTTCTTATATTGTTACGTAGTTACTTTGAAAAGGAAAAGAAATTACATAAAATACTTTTTTTTTTTGAAAAATAAGATGTTTACTACAAGCTAAATTTTCGGTTTAATTTTAATGAAAATAACAAATTTCTGTTTGCCTCTTTTCTCAAGCTGCTGGTTGCCTCTTTTCTCAAGCCGCGTTTTAAAACTAGTTTTAAAACTAAACATTATTTCAAATATTTCAAAGTAAATTTAAATGCTTCTCATTTTAGTAATGCCGGTTAAATAAATATTAGACAACATGGTCCTCAAAAAACTCAAGTGCCACGCTTTCTAACAGAGCCGCAGCAATGGGTGTACGAGAGGTGCGGTCGCACAATGCGGAAATTTTTGCATATTTTAGAAACTATATTTATCTATACATATATAATATAAATTATATTTATAGTATACATTAGTTTGAACTTTTATCTTAATTTTTATATTTGTGTTTCACTTTATTTGAAAGAAACATTTAAAATCAAGCATAGCGTAATCCATAAATAAGAAGAATCGTTTAGATTCCTTTTTAAATAGATCAAAAGAGGTTTTTTTAAATAGATCAAAAGAGGTTAAATAGATCAAAACAAACTTCGTATCTTCAAAGTTTGCAATTTTTTCGTTTCATTGTAAATCTCTTTGCCGTAAAGAGCAGTGATAAAATCTTTAAAAGTTACGAGTTTGTTAAACTACCTTGGATACCTATTATTGGCCCAAAACTCCGAAGAGAATTTAAAAAACAAAACATCAGAGTTATATTTACTTCAGCTCCTAGTTTAAGTAATATATTATGCAACAACAAAACTAAACTACCTCCGAACTCAAATCCGGGGGTTTACCAACTTAAATGCTCATGCGGAAATATATATATTGGTGAGACCAAAAAGAAAATCATTTCAAGAAGTGCAGAACACCAAAGAGCTTGCAAAAATCAAAAATGGTCGAGTTCAGGAGCCACGGAACATTCCAAAACATGCCGTGGTAACTTTGATTGGCTAAATCCTAAGACCTTGGCAGTCGTTCAAGAATACAAGATACGAAAAATTAGAGAATCTCTGGAGATTAACAAAGCGAAAGTTCGATGTGAGATAGGTATTGGGGAAGGTGTTCTAAATCGAGATGACGGGGATAAGGTTAAAACAAGAACTTGGGGACCCATTTTGACAAAAATTTAACTGACGTCATTATTATATTTAATTGGTTTTTATATTTGACGCTTTTTAATGTCTTCTTTTTAAACGGTTTGTTTTTATGTTATTTTGTAACGTTTTTTATTATTACCTGATGACGCTGACCACAATAGGTCAGCGAAATATCGTTGATATATTTTTACATCAAAATATATTTAAAAATAGTTATACGCTGCCTTTTTATTAAAATCAACTTACATATTAAATATATATATATATATATCGTATAACAAGAAATGACTTTTAAAGATTATATATATATATATATATATATATATATATATATATATATATATATATATATATATATATATATATATATATATATATATATATATATATATATATATATATAGGGGAAAGCGGGGCAACATGGCGAATGGGGCAAGATGGGTTTTCATATAAAAACTCAACAAAAAATTTTAAAATTGGGTGAAAACGAAACTGTATTTGCATCTTGTAATTTAAAACACCAATTGGTTTTTTGAAATATTATTAACGCCATTTTATACAAATAAGTTTACTTTTTGTGCTTAAAAATAAATTCCTCACTTTCGGTTTCTCATTTTTCCAAAATTGGAGGTAAAAATTGCATAATAAGTCATCTTGCCCCGGTCACGTGACCAGATGACAAATTTATAAACTTTTTATTTTAATATTTATTTCAAATTGGTTGGTGTCCTTCAAGTTTAACTTCTTTAGAAACAGTTTTTGCAATTTGTGTTTATTTTTTGTTACTTTAATTAGAGTTATTGACATTTTTTAAAATTTTACAAAATTGGAGGTAAAAATTGCATAATAAGTCATCTTGCCCCGGTCACGTGACCAGATGACAAATTTATAAACTTTTTATTTTAATATTTATTTCAAATTGTTATATTTGCAAACTGAAAATTGATGCAGGCAATGAAAGAACTTAATAGCATAAACATACTGAGAAAGTATTGTGGCTTCACGGCTTTCAAAACGTTCGCTAAGTTATTCGGAAATAAATCGAAAGGAAAATATCTCAAGAAAAAAATTATATAGAAAAATATACTTTAAACACATTATTTGGAAGCATTTATAGTTTGTATAATTCGAGTACTTTAGATCATTTGCAGAACATTAAACCATTTGCGGTATTTTCAAATAAAAGACAAAGAATGCCAGAAAATTGTCTATTTAATTCTACAGTTTAGTTTATTTTTATGTTAAAGTTTAATCAGTTGTATATGGAGTTTTGTTATAAGGTATAAAACATTCAATTATGAAAACTGCTTAATTTAATAAATTATATATCGCTTAAGATCAGTGACGTAGCGAATATTTTTGCGACCGGGCATAGCGTTCTCTACTACAGGCCTATTCATCGCGCAACCGGATTTTTTTGTGAAGGCCTACTTTTTTGGTTGAAACATGA